AGGAAGGAAGGAAGGAAGGAAGGAAGGAAGGAAGGAAGGAAGGAAGGAAGGAAATATTTTTGGATCCACTGAATCCCACATCTAACTACTATCAGTCAAAGGTCTTTGCCACATCCTATCCAAGACTGGAATCCAAGTCTGTTTACCCTCTTGCTGGTGACATTCAGAACAGAGGTCAGATATTTGGAGTGTGATCCTACATTTCTTTCTTTCTTTCTTTTCTTAAGCTCTCTAACCCAACAGCCAACATCCCCAGGTTTTATGGTGGTGATTTCATCTGCCAACCCTTTCATCTGGCCGTGATGATTCAATTCCACCAGGGAGAGTGAGAGGCCTTGAGTCGCCTTCTGTGGCAGTTCAGCCCAAGGGTGAGGAAGGAGGCCATTGTGGAACTAATGACCGAATGCCAGTGAGATGCCAGGTTCTCTGTGCTCTTTCCGAGACAAAGATAGTAAAGCCACGATTTGCACTGGTGGCTGAAGGAGCAGGAATGCGGATCATGCTGACTGAGTCTTTCTTTTCTTTTCTTTTCCAGCGAAAGGAGGGGGAAGAGAAGGTTTTGTGCTGACCAGCTAGAATTTCACTGTGTTCTTTTCCCTCCGCCATGCGGGCGCTGAGAGGGCTATACAAATCTACAGCCAATTGCCAAGTGATGCAGATGGAAAAGCAGGGATCATGAAAGGTCTGACATCATGGTTCGAGAGGGTTCAGCCAGGGCACTGCCTGGCACCAGGGAGCATATAAAGCCTGGGCACTTGGCTTGCCAGCATGCACTGCCACCCGCCGTTTCCTTCGGGGAGATGGATGTCACCATTCACCACCCCTTCTTCCGCAGACGGCTGCTCCCTAGCCTGTCACCCAGCCGCATCTTCGGCCAACATTTTGGGGAGCCCATCATGGAATCTGAACTGTTCGCTGGCACCTTCCCTCTCAGCTCCTTCTTTCTGAGACCGTTCACCTTCAGGAACACTGGCTGGCTGGACAGTGGACTCCCAGAGGTAAACCTTCCTCTTGCTCAAATGCCTGAATCCGGGTGGAGGGCACCTGCCAACTGTTGTTATCCTTGCCCTGTTATTCCTTCCTTTGTGGGGCTTTGTATGTAGTACAGCAAGGGTGTGAGGATACATGACAAAAACAACTTAAATCAGGTGTCAACAATGGTTCCTTTTTAGACAAGTTGACCTACAATTCCCATCACCCGAGCTAGCGTGGCCAGGAAGCGGTAAGCCAGAACTTCTGCTGACAATCCAGTTCTCCTATCGCACCAATGATTCACTTATTTGTGAAGTGGGCACTGTTTCTGTATCTTCTGTTCAGATGCTGATAGGCACATTGCTCCTTTCCGTGGCACAGCCTAAAAGGGCTAGGTACTGCCCCAAAATTACAAGTAATACTTTGCTTGCTACTTGCAATCTGAGAACCAGACATAATAAAAAGGGAGGTAAAATTAAGGGGGGGATAAATTAGCACAAACAAGAGTCTTTAAAGAAGCAGAAGGCTGGAATGCAATTCATCGTCTGATGGAAGAGGGGGAGAAAGCTGCGAAGTGCTCAGTGGGCGATACAGGCAGTCCCCAGGTTAAGAATTTCTGACTTATGCGCAACTTGTACTTACGGACAGACTGCCATAAAGCCTATTCATATTAAAAATTTGAGTTAAACACAATGGTTCGTAATAACAAACACATGTACTACTTTGTGATGCTCACAAAAACATTGCGCAGCTTCAGCAGTTCGTCGGCTCAAGGAAGGAGAATGCCATCCACCATTTTATATACTATATACTAAACAAACATTTGACTGACTGATACTAAATAAGAACTGTATGTACCTGTTCTGACTTGCCTACAAATTCGATTTAAAGACAGACTTGGGAACGGATCTTGTTCATAATCCGGGGACTGCCTATACTAACCATTTTCTGGGTTTGGACTATATACTGCACGGTATGCTAACCAGAGATGCTGGGTTCACACACTACACTAACCCACAAAAAAACCCTACCCAAAGATAAAGTGAATGAAGATTATGATGTCATGAGAATGCATCTGCTCCTTTTTCACTGATCTAGTTAAGCATATTCCCAACCCAGTGAGGGAACAGAAAGAACCATGGTAACTTCCACGTGATGCCTCTGCAAATTTTACAAGGGGTCCAGAGAACCGTCTCTTTCATTTGTAGTCCTCCTGTCCTCCCTCTGCTGCTGTTATTTTCTTCCTGGAGAAAGCCCATTGGGTGGGACAGGCAAACTAGCCACACTATACATCTTGACTGCTGATATTTGGAAACACCCATCAGTTTGAGGAGTTAAGCCAACAAGGCATTTTGTCTGTGGGGCGTGATCTATTGCCAGTCAGCTATATGGCCCTTCTAACTTTGTAAGGCAGAAAATATCATTTTCATGTGTATAATTTTACATATCTTTTTTTATAAGTTAGAAATACACACCACTTTAGCCTTTTCATCAAATGAAGAAGTTTAAGTTCCCTGACAGTTCTAATGACCCTTTTCTGCACCTTCTCTGTCCTCAGGCTACAAGGATGGTAACATGTAGAACTGACTTTTATTTTGGGAGATAGAATATCAAATTATAACTTATGGTCAATTCACTGAAAGCTTGCAATGAGGCCTCGAACACGTTGAAGTCTTCTGTCTAGAATCTCCTGACCCTTGATAAACATGAAATGTTCTTTCTGTCCTAACCCAAACTGTTTGTCAGCAGATGCACTTGGACAACAACAAGTTTTCCGTGAACCTGGATGTGAAGCATTTCTCTCCTGAGGAGCTAAAGGTCAAGGTCTGGGGAGACGTGATTGAAGTCCAGGGGAAGCATGAGGAGCGCCAGGTTGGTCTCATCTGGGATGACCCTGCCTGGCACAGCAATGGGGGACAAAATGAGGGCTGCCCCCTGGAGAGGTCACACAGCCACAATATCTGTCACACCTGGAAGGGTCTCAAAGTGATGCCTGTGGCAGTGGAAATGGGGAGGCCCACTTAATTTAATTCTTTCATTTCAAAGCAGAGGAGGCCAGAGCTGAGGCTAATTTACCATTAACCTGTCTAGCTTCGTATTGCCCAGGCTGTTTGGGGGTGACTCATCCAGTTCTCAAGGAGAGGATGTTCCTTAACCCAGTATTCCAGAAACTTAAATTGGAAAGCTGAACCCAGGGCTTTTCAATTGCAAGATGCTGCTTATCCCATAGGACAATTCACAAACTGACAGTGCTTTTTCTCCCTCTCCCCCACAAAGGATGAACAGGGTTTCATTGCCCGTGAGTTCAACAGGAAGTACAGAATCCCAGCCGATGTGGACCCCCTCACCATCACCTCCTCCCTCTCCTCGGATGGTGTCCTGACAGTGAATGGACCAAGGAAACTCAAGCAAGTTCCTGAGCGCAGCATCCCTGTCACAAGGGAAGAAAAATCTGCCCTCCTCCCAGGACCAAGAAAATAGATGCTCCCGGAGACCCGCCCGTTTTATACTGAAGAAAGTCTTTCCATAGGACAGAAATGACAAATTGGCTCTTATTTATTTGTGCAAAGATAGGCAAGTGAGCTTCTTTACTAACAAATAAACAGTTGGTAGCTTCTTTCCTCAATCTTCCTGGCAAATTAAATCTAAGATAAGACAAGACTCATGAACTGATGGTTTAATAGAGTTTTGGAACTGCTAAGAAAGCCACAGAGAAAGCTAGGAAGGAACCAGAACTGAAAAATGAATGAGGTAGAGTCTCCTGGTGCACATTTCTTTTATTTAAGGAGCTGCTGCCCAGCAGCCGAGCTTCTAACCATTTGGGTAGGGAAAGGAGACCTTCTCAGCAGAGCCTTCCACCCCTCAGGTGGCCCTGGAGCTGCCTACTGCTTCAGCTGGGTCCCCTCTGCTTCCTTGAGCTTCCCGTCACCCAAAGAGCGTTGCTTTGCTCTGCTGTGCGGAGGCTCGTAATCGATCATGTAGCACGACCGAGCGGTGGGCTTGATCGGAGGTGGCTCCAGCTCTGGCTGGTGTCCAGGAAACCAGTGAGGCTCTCGCATAACCCCTAAGAGCAGAGAGAGGACAAGGGAAGGCAGGAAAGCAAAGCACGGAGGAGGAGGCAAAATTTAACCCACACACTGAACTCCCTTTGCAGAAGCCCAAGGCAGCCCTGGCTTTGGCTTCTCCTAACAGAAGGGGTCCAGAAGGGAAGACCAAAGCACTGCCCTGCTTTGCAGGAATTTCGGTACTTGGCTGACAGTGAACCTCTTCACCTTCCTGGCTTTGGGAAATCACACCTGGACCCTTGTATCAGCCTGAGATTTGGATTCCCGAGAGTGCTTAACTGGAATCCTGAAACCTATCATTTACTAAACAGAACTGTTTCCAAACAAGCTGGTAACTTTGAGAGGAGGAGGGGGGAGGAATGGCTCACTTGCACATCTGGGGGCATTTCACTGATTTGTCTGTACAGTAGTCCTTTGCTGGGGTGCACCTGAAGTCCCAGAGTCTTTGCTTGCGGTAGCTATTTATTGACTCTGATCTGACCCTTCCGGATATCTTAGGTCACATGCTATCAATGCTCGTATTTGTCTTATTTTATCTCCTCTGCTAGCAATCTTTTGGAAACATATAAAAGCCCTTGGTTTACCCTTAAATTTTGTTCCTGCATATTAGTGTTGTGCACCTACTTCTTAAGCTGCGAGGCATTTCCTTGGAATAGTCTGTCACATAGGTGGACTCGAAGTAGTGAGCATACTGAAAGGGAAAACCCAGAGTCAGCGCACGCTTAGTTAAGAAAGCAGTTTCATTCAATCATGGCAACCTTCAAGCAGAAGAGCCCTTATCCCCAAAGCAAACCGGTTTACACTCTGGCTCAGAGCCCAACAGAACTCTAGTTCGACGTAGCTGAAGACAAGAAGTATGAAGGGATTAACTCCAAATTCCTGAACTCAGAAGTTAGCCTTGCTATGTTCAATAAGGTTTGCTGCCAAAAAATGTGTGCAAAGTGGCGTCCAATGAAAATAAACCATTAACTGAAGAGAGAAAACAAGACAAAACAAGAACAGGCAGAATGAAATAGCTAATGCAGAATGAAATAGCTAACGTCCTCCATGAGACTCTTCAGGATGCTTGATTTCTTAAGTGACCTCTCATTTAGATAGGAGGCTGTGCAGATCCAGGAATGTTTACAGATCATCACCACAGCCATTGCTTTGTTATACTGGAATCCCCATGTCTTATAAGGGGACCAGAGAGCTGGTTCGAATGCTTTTTCCTCCACATTTGATTCATATCATGTGATAGGTTAGGCTGAAAGAGAATTCATAGAGCACAAAACCTTAATGTGGATTTTTTGGTTTTTGTATGAGTGATACATGAACCCCACCTACAGTGGTTTGAAAAAATCATGATTCATGGTAAATTATTCAACAAACCATGGCTTGAAAAAAGCATTGGATTGGTACAATGCATGAAACCAGCCACTGCCTGGCCCCACGTTATGCAGGGAGTTTCCTCACTGACCAAAAATGCAAATCACATCCAACTCTACATGAGCTCTGAAGTCTGGGCTTCAGACATTTGCAAATTATAAAAAGAATTAAACCCAAAGCACTTGAGAATCAATAACGACCCTTTCTTGTGGCCATCTAGCAAGCAAGATTGTGTTGAAAGGACACTCTGACCTGGGAAGGGAGAGGTTTGAGTTGCTTCCTTTTCTGGATATCGTAACGCTCCTCATTCCAGTTCCCCAAGAGAGTTTTATTGGTATATGAGTCTTCATTGGTGGTGCATCTCCAGCCATACTGGAAGAACTTCGATGTGCTGTTCCAATCTGTCCATATTTCCCCGTGGCCATTTGCACGGAGTAAACAGCCATGATGAGGGTTAAAGAAGCAAGACAAGGACATGGCCTGAGAAGAGACGGAAAAACAGGCCAAGTACTGTATAGCAGATCACAGAAAGCAGTTGCTGTGTCAGAAACCTAGATCTGTTTTATGCCACTTCATCATGCCTTGTATCCAAACACTCCCTACGGAGTGTAGTTAGAAAGGAGAAAATGGGGATTCTGTTAGAAATCCCTATGTCCTTTACAGAACTTAAACATAAAGTCAAGGCTGTAGGGAGTAAGCCTATTGAGCACAGTAAACACTGAACATAGTGATTATCTACCTTGGAGCAAATTTGTACAGATTTGACTCAAATGTCGGGCCTTTTTTTTTTCTTTTAATTTTGAAAGAAGGATTGGGAAGCTGGCATCTGCAGAGCAAAACACTAACTTTTAAATGGAAGTTAGAAAATAAAATGGAGGCTGGCTATCATCCAGGGCTTTACAGTATGTGGAAATGTGCCCATTTACCCAGAAAAAGATGCAGAGGTAAGCTGCAGCAGTAGAGTGCTTCCCTGGAGGCAAGAGGGGGTGATGAGGAGCTGCCTTGCCAGTTTGCTTCCTGATCAATGGGTAACTGATGATGCACACTGTCGGCCTTTTTTGCCACAAGTCCCCACAATGCGCTCTCAATATACCAACTCAAAAGCACTGGAGATTACCTCTGGCTTTACATCATGAGTGAATTATGTCATTGTTAAATGGAGAAAATGGCCCCACAAGAACATTTGATGATGATGATGCTTCTACAAGAGATCTTTTAGATTTTACAGCTTGGTCACTACTTATGCATTCCTGCAAAAAAGCTACTCAGCCCTTCTTCTGTGCTTTTCCAACATCAAAATCCACCTGACTTCTTCCCACTCACCAACATTACTAGCTTTTGAAAGATCAGGTTTTAACCCAAGTCCTTTGGGAGCAATTTTAATCCAGGGATAAAATGGTAGCAAACTGATGGCCAAGAGAATAATTAAGGGAAAAGGTGAATTTTCCAAAGGCTTCAGCATGGAATGGCCAGAAATCTGGAAGCAAGAAATACCTCTGATTCAGAAGTGGTAGTGGTGGTATATGAACTACTGGTCTCGTCCACATCCCACATTTTCTTGCTACTTTTCCTGTTCTCAGTTGGAGCTGGGTTTCAAGAACTCAGAAAAATGGAACACCTCAATAGAGTAGATGTGAAAGCTATAAATGGGTGTTAAAAGTGCCAAGGGCTTTGCTGGGGTGAGGAACTGGAGTAGGCAGCCAAAAAACCCGATTAGCCTAGTTTGTGATGTAATTTCCTGATCATCAGCTAGGGCTGATGTCACTGTCCTCAGAGCATCCAAGGGATAAGGGACTTTTATTTCAAACTGCTACAACTGCATCTTGACAGGACAGTCAGGCACTAAGAGCCTTTCCTCATTTGCCCACCAACTTGGCATAACCATGCCCAGTCTTTTGTCTGCCGTGTCTCCATGACGTTGCCTTCCTCTTGCCCACCACCCATGAGTGAGACAGACACCTAAGTTGTCTTTAGCTGTCCCTGTGTTAAAGTGGTCAAAGGCAGGGACAGAAGCAGGAGAGGGATTGCAAAGGGGCCAGCAAATATTTTGCCATCCTGCTGATGGGTAGAGCACTGTGGGGTGGAGGAAAGCCCTAAGGGCACCTCCAGAGAGGCAATTTAATGCGCTCCCTTCAGAGGAAGGGCTCAAACTCCCACAAAAGTGGACTTTACTTGGAGCCAGCGCACTGAATAACACAGAAGTAGAACTCCTACTAACCTTTTAAATACTTGCTCTTGTGCAAAAGTGAGGCTTCACATCTGGAACCATCAATGCTCCTTCCAACAACCACCCCTTCGAATCTCAAGTACTGTTTTGTTCCCGAAGTTGGTAACGTGTATTTTAATATCTTAAATTATGGTGTTTCCCCACAGACACAAACCCCCGCAGGTTTACCCAAAGGTGAGCTCGAAGAGAATCCTGCTATGCAAGGAGGATGCCCTATCAGTGACAGTCAGAAATAAACGACCTGCTCCAAGGCACACATTTTTGTCTTTTCCAATAAAGTTTTGGGCAGAGCTGCTCCCTCATTTGAAAAAAAGCCAAAGTGCCCTTCGGGGACGGTCCCAAGTGGAGGAAAATTCGGTAACCTGGGTGGGGCCAAGTTTTCTTCTCCAGGAAGGCCCCAGCGGTGCCCTGCAAAGCATCTGCCTCTCCCTCTCCCCCCACCCCGTGGCCCCCGGGACATCAGAAGCACATCTGGATGAAGCGCCGGGAGAAAATCTCCAGCGGATTTTTCTCCCAGGACCCCTCCCGACTTTTAAAAATTATGGAGGACCCCGAAAGAGCTTTTGTTAATACAGGGTTATATTGTTATATTTATCAATATTTAACACATTAAAAATTAGAGCTGACACGTTTGCTGCAGCTACCGCTTCTCACCATTGTTTGATGGGACTTTATCTTGCAATGTTTTTCAACAAGGGCTGGCAAATCACTTTGATTTCGCGGACCCCTGAGAGGGTCTTGGGGCCAAGCCCCTCTCCCTCCTTTTTCTTTTTTAAACGCCCGCCACGCTTTTTTTAACGCTCGATTTAAGCTAAGCAAGCCTCGGCTCTCCTATCGCTCCAGGCAGGCCTCGAAATACATTGTCCAAGAAAGAACGAAAGGAGAAAGAGAGAGAAAGAGACGGCAGACTGCTTCTGAACATGGAGGCTCCACCGCAGCTACCCTCTCACTCTTCCCAAGGAGTTGCCGCCAACCGCAACGAGAATAACAATACTACTACTAATAATAATAATTAAAAAATAAATAAACCGCCCCCCTCCCACCTACCGAAGAGGCCCGGCGCCCCCTCCGCCTTCCCCGCCGCAAAGAAAAGCGCAGAGGGGAGGGGAAGGGAGGAGGGATGGAGGGAGGAAGCCGTTCTTATGGCAACCGCAGAAGCCACGCCCCGGAAGCTAGGGACGCTCATGACGGAAGTGACGCGTAAAACGCTCGACCGCGCTTCCAAGCAACGGGGAGGGAGCGGGGGTTGATGGGAAGGAGCAAGCTAACGGCGAAGTTTGTGTAATTTGCGATATTTCCCCCCCCTGCGTGAATTTTTTTTAAAAAAGGGGGGGCTGTCTCGGTCAGAAGGGAAATGGCGGGGGGTTAAAAATGGAGTAGTTGTTGTCACGGCCCCCGCCAGGGGTGGGCGCTGTTCCGGCCTTGCCATGCCCATCATCCCCAGCCGGGCGTCAGTCTGTCCTCTTCTCCCCTCCCCGCAGGAAGGATATCGCCCTGACCCTGTTGGCCCCGGGGTGCGGGGGTGGCTGAGTGAAGGCGGCGGAACGCCCTCAGTCTGTTGCAGCTCAGGGCGCCGGGCGGAAGCGTTGCTCTCCTTGGCTTCGCTCCTGCGGCGGCCTCGGAGGTAGGCCCCGGGAAGGACCGGGCGCTGCTGTAGCCCAGGAGCACCCGCGGGTGCTTCCTGCCAGTTTTGGAGCACGGCTCGCTGGCTGGCCATGGGCCCTGCCGGCTGGGGCTGAGAGACGCTCGGTTGCTTCTCTGCCGCGGAACAAGGTTCTCCGGTGAGTCTGGGAACCCGCGTGGAGACCCGGGGCTGCGGCTCCTCCTTTCCTGCTCCTAACACGGTGGAGCTGATCGCGCCAGGAGCGGCGGACCGAAGGAGGAGTCCGCCCGTGCTCTTCCGCAGTCCGAACTCTGGCTGTTGAGGGCGAAGGCCTTGCCTCCATGCAGGGTTTGCCTCATCCACCACGTTTCCTCCTGGTCGGGGAAGGAAACTTCTCCTTCTCGGTCCATTTGTATGAAGAAAGGGGCACTGAGATCCATATTACTGCAACCTGCTATGGTAGTGAGGAGTCTCTATCTGGACAAGCTTTTGCCAAGTCCAACATACAGTTTCTGAGAGACAAAGGTAAACGGGGGTAGGAAGCAATATCATCATCATCATCATCATCATCACGTTTTTGTTATTATCCTTATATTTTCTTCACCAGCAAAACATTGTCTACTAAACTATGCATTTTTTTTCTTTCAATAATCCAGGTGCTGAAGTCTACTTTTCTGTCAACTGCACAAAACTGAAGGAATACTTCTTGCCAGCTGTGAGGAATTTTGACCGTATTTATTTTAATTTCCCTCATTGTGGAAAAAAGGCGGGAATAAAAAAGAACAGGGAGCTTCTTGCCAAGTTTTTCTGTAGGTGAGACAAAGCAAGGCTGTGTACTTCTTTCTGTTCCACTCTGTGGGTGTATCTGCTTCTTTCAGGACTATTATATATTGCACTAGAAGCCTCAGAATATAAATGTCAGGAAGATAGATCTACCTTTTAGGCCCTCCAACAGACATGCCTTTGTTACCATTAAATGCTTTGCACAATGGGCTGCAGGACAGGACATTGAATGGGCAGAGGAAATATAATTGAGGATTTCTGTGGCTTTGGTGCTTGGTGTTGCTATTCCTGTATGCAACTTTTTCAGCCACTTCCAGTAGCAAAAATGTTTGCGTAAAACAATGTTTCTGAAGTCTACCGATAAGACTACATAAGAGCAAAAACCATGTATCTGGATCAGATGTAGGGCATATCTAGCTCTGATTTGTTTCCATAATGGGCAATCAGATACCTATCCAAAGGCACATAGTTGAACTTGTGTTCAATAGCACTCTGAACTTTTTTTTCCTTTGCTTAAAAAAAAACTTCTGAGAAGGGCAGAAATGAAGTGAAGTTAGCCCCATAACTATGCATTCTTCCTCTTCAAGAACACCTTTCACTTTCTTCCACTTCCCTGCAATTATTAAAAACAAGATAATAGACTTCTTAGAAAACTGACAGCTTGCTACATCAGCTGTAGGACAACGCTACCCACCTCTTTTCTTTGCTCCAGCTGTGCAGATGTTCTGGCAGAGAAAGGAGAGATCCACGTGGCACTTTGCAGAGGACAAGGGGGGACCCCTGCAGACCACCCTGTGCGGGAGTGGCACAACAGCTGGCAAGTCGTGGAGATGGCAGCAGAAGCAGGATTTATCTTGAGCGGCATTCAGCCATTTAATATCAGGGATGCTGGTGGATATAAATGTACAGGCTACAGGTAAGCTGCAGCTGATCCCATCCCAGGTGCTATTTTAGATGTTGCCCAAGTTAGTTCCTTATTACCAAAAGCTCCTCTCTCTTGAGAAGCACCATGCAAGCTCAGTAGGTGAGATCTGCACATACTTATATACTTTTATTTCTTATAAAACTAAGGAAGTCTGGTATTTAAACTTCTGTTACCTCTAACAGAAGAGAGCTGTGACCCTTTTGGTTCTCAAGCCTTTGTGGGAGCAAGCTGAGACAAGGAAAAGATTAAATTTCTAGTAAAATCCTATAAAAAGGTTGGAAAGGAATCAGACCTATATAGCCTTCTGTAACAATGATTTTTGTATATGTTGGTCTACAGTTCCTTTGTCTCACAAAAATGGTTCTTGTAACTGTTGACACCTTTCACCATGAATCTTGCCTAGTGTTTCAGTCACCCAAAAATTTACCTTCTGGATTTTCAGTTCCATTTGTTTGCCATCAATTGGTTCAGCTAATTCACCTTCATTTTTCTTGTGCAAATGAAAAACGTTGATTCATTTGCCTCCAAGCACATCTGCTTTCTTTGTAGGAATCAGGATAAAGCTTTCTGCATAGAAGGAGCTGTGAATCACATATTCACCCAGAGTATGCCATTTCTGCATTCAAGACCTTTGATTTGCGAAGTGGAGCTAGAAGGCAAAATAGTTCCCTGCCAAGTTCCACAGATATTTCTAGATAAGATAAACAGGTATGCAGTAGAATTTCCAAATCCTTTGAACCTAATCTCTGCATAATGTAATCACTCAGCTGATGATTGTGCTCTTAAAAAGAACATTTAAGAGGTCTACTTTTATTTTAGTATCTGGATGCATTTTGGACTGACATCTGAGAAACTAGAATAATACCAATGAACGGGCTAAAGATCATAATGCGCTTTCACATTTACTGCTCCATCAATAATTTGCTATTTTTCAAAATATAACATCTGATGTTAGTGTTTTGCCTTGTTTAATACTACTGTTTTCTAACATATTTTATAATCTGAACTAGGAACTACTTAGATATTAATTCGAAGCATCCTGTAAGAACTATAAATGAAAAACTAATTGATGAGCTCGGCAGATCTTTCCCAGTTCAGAAGGTGAATTCTTCACTTCCTTTGGTATACGAACACAGTTCTGCTTCTCCTTCTGCAGCAGATATCCTTTGGATGGTTCCGGTTGCCAAAAGACACTCCAAAATTAAGTCTATGGCTACTAAAAGTGACACAGAGATGTTTCTTCCTTCAGGCTTCCCTAACTGGGAAGGAACTGATCAGGATCGTGATTTGAGTTGGACCTTGGGACAATATTATCTTCGACCTTCCCTGTTGATTTTTCTTCATTCTATTATAAAGCAGACAGACTTTTCTTCTCGGACTTTGTTGGCCCTCAGTGGGCTGGCCTTTAAAAAATGTAAGCTCTCTGCTCACGTTCCCCCCATCTTCCATGAGGCCATCTTTGTCTGTGCAGTTAAGAAAGACTTAGGGGATGCGCAGCTCCTGATAAAAAACCTCACAGATACATTAAACTCTTTACTCCAATCATCAGGTTTTAAGTTGAACTCTCTGAACCAGGAGCCAGAAGCCAGTCCACAGAATACCTTTCTATCTTCTTCAGAACTCTTTCTGCACACACCAAAATATGGTGTGACTGTGAGCTGCGAGGGCTTTGATTCTGGCATAAAGGAACTTTGTGTTGGAACAATAAGTACCATTCCATGGCAGCCTTCAAGTGTTAATCAAGAGATTGTTTGCATTTCTTTGAACCTTGATCTTCTGGCTATGTGCATATGTAGAATTTCTGACTGGCGCATGCTCTGGACTTCAGATGAACGTTTTGCAAACCAGTTTGCGGGGGGGCATTTAGGCCTTTTCCAGAACTTTTCCCTCCATCCACCAACCTACGTGCATGACATCAGCTTCTGGGTTCCAGAAACAGAAACATTCAATGAAACCCAGTTTCATGCCATTGCCAGGTGCGTGTCTTTGGAAACGGTTGTGTCTGCCCAGCTGCTTGACAGTTTTCAGCACCCAGGCACAGCACAAACCAGCCTGTGCTACAGGCTCGTTTACCAGTCTTGCGACAAAGCGCTCGATCGCCACCAGGTGGCTGCCATGCAGATGGAGCTTAGGAAAGAACTACAGCAGTGTCTGCGGGTGATTGTTAGGTAGGAAGATGGGGAAGAAAACGTGGCAGAGAGTAACTTTTGCCCCAAACCAGCATGTTGGTTCTTGTGAGCTGTCTGGATGTTACAATGAGAGGTCTGTGTGAGTGCTTTTACCTCACGTCACACCATGCCAGCTCTGTGGCACCACATCGTTTTTCTCCATGCTGTTCCTTAGGTTGGGAGTTGTATAAACTGAGGACCTTGGAAGTTGCTATCGCAACACACGTCAGAAGGGGGAAATGGTTAAAAACATGAGAAGTAATCCTGTTAGCTATATGGAAGATTTAAATTTAATATAATTGTAAATTAAATTTAGTTTTGGCCTTGCTCCTCCCACTTCTGGGCCCACCTGCGTTTGAGAATATCATGTCACACAAAGACTAAGGGAAGCCTTTGTTACCCCCTGCTTTAGGTAATAAAAGTGAGGCAGTTTAAACCTGATTTATCGGAGTCACTTTTGTTGAGTTTTTCTTTCGGAAAGTTCATGGCTGTTTGAAACTTCAATTTAAAAACCAGCAATAGCCACACTCAGTGGGTTGCACATTCAGGGATCCCATTCCGTTTAACACAGTTCCACATGACCTGTTTTGGTTTACACTGAATAGCAGAATGGAAATGGGAGTTCACGTGCTCAGTTGTGACATTTCTGGAGCCAAGGTTTTGCATTTTCTTTAAGGAGCTGATGACTGGGCCAAAGTTGAGGAAGAGCCCAAAGCCTCCTCCGTTACTTTATAATGGCTGATGTTATTCCCACTTCTGGGGTGCCAGCCCACCTGCACTGAGCTAGTACGCTATACCTGTAGGTAGTAGAACATAAAGAGAATAAATGACACACTGGATATATTTCTATGACTCTTGTGAAGATCAGAGCAAGCATGTCCATTATTTATATTGCAATTCTTTACCTAAAATGAGAACAAAATTCTAACCCTTCTGAAACTCTTAAACTTCAGCAGCTTTGGTTGTATCTGAGATTGTCAGGTTCAGCCCAAAGAACTCCACGAGACAGTGCAATACAGTTCTATTGCGTTTATTAGCTTCACCTCAAGACAGAAATCTCTCCAGACTGAACCTAAGTTCCCAAGCCAGCCCGCCACAACACCATGAATTCCTTAGGGTGGTGCCAGTCTTAAACTTCCCACGCTCCTGTTGAGGGCTAAGGAAACGCTTATCTCCCTGAGCGTGGCCTTCATAACACCATTCCATCACAGAGATGTTGTGGAGTGAGAGCTGTAACCCCTTCAGGTTTTGAGTGGTCTGGATCGTGTGGTCTTAAGAGAGGGGAAGTCCAAGTCCCCTTTGAATCCCGGCCTTCAGCTTGGTGAGCCCAAACACTTGCTAAGCGAGATGCCCTGCTTGAAAGCACTGGAGCTTACTTGGGTGTAAATGTAAGCAGGATCCAGCTGTACCGCCAGGCCTACAAGTTCCCAATAAATGCTAAAACAGTTTTCCTGATGGGCAGATTTAACAGCAGTATAAAAAGAAGCAGCTTAACCTACATGAACATTGCAGCCTAACGTTCCTTATTCTGCAATGGGTGCAATGAGGAAAACCAATCTCGGGGAACGGCGGGGGAGATAATTTAGGGATGAATGGACATTCATGCAGAGGAGATTTCAGTCCAGCCTTAGCAGGCAGCTCTTGCCACTACGCGCTACTCCCCCGCCCAGGGGACGTCGTGCACGCACACTTGGCTGTCGCTGCACCAAGCGCAGCAGAAACCCGCGAGCTCGGCCCGCAAGAACAGACGTGGGAAGGAAAGGAACTGCGCCTGCG